CAGGCATCAACAGGCATCAACAGGCATCAACAGGCATCAACAGGCATCAACAGGCATCAGCAGGCATCAATCACCCAACGATCAGCCATTCTTTTGCAGCTTCACCCAATCGACCTCGTTTGAGATGAGCTGTGGGTATGCCGGAGACACGATATCTTATGGCAATCAGCCTCTAAAGCCAGGCCTGTATCAGTTTCATAGTTGATGGGGCGCTTTAAGTCCAAAGCGATGGGCTCCCAATCCCTTATCCACAATGACTACAGCTCGCTATCCATGGTTGACCGTCGATATACAGGGTCTGCAAAGCTCAGTCTTAATGCAAAATCCATTGGAAATCATAACGAGAAAGGCATCAACAGATTTCCATTCGTCCTACATATGCACATATGCGATTATAACAACGCGGTTTAAATCAAAGCTGGCGCCAACTGGAGACTTTATGCTGGCCTCCATTCATAATGATGGGGACCCTTCTTGACTGGACCTGGATCTTCGCCTGGCACGCCTGGCTTGTTGTACGCATGAGCGCCAAAGTAGTCCATCTGCGCCTCCATAAATTTGGTTGGCAGCATCGTTCCTCCTTCGTACTTCAAGTACTCTAACGTGGCAGATAAAGCCGGCATGTACTGATCAGACAAGATTCCCTCAATCACAATCTCTTTTAGGGCGTCAAAATTCTTGTGCAGTTCTCGGGCGACCTCGTCCACGAATTTCATATTGGTGAGTCGCGTGTTGGATGTCAAGGCGGGCTGCAGAAGGTCTGCGATGGCTTCGGACTGGATAATGCAACCGGCTCGCCAGATCTGAAGGCATCTACCGAGGTCAATGTCCCATTTTTCGTCCTCGGAGGCGCGCGAGATCAATTCGAGACCCTGGCAGAATGATGCCAAGAAGGAGCAGTACACCGCGCGGCGCAAGTTCTCAATGAACGCACCGCGATCTTTGATGGTCTCGATTGGCTTGGGGCTGGGAATATGGAGTTTCTTCGCGACTCGGACTCTCTCTTCACGATTCCCGCTGGCCACACGCAGAAAGTGCGCTGTGGCAAGAGTGGGCGCCGAGACGTGACGCTCAGCTGACTCCATAATCGACCAGTACGGAGTTCCCTCGGTGTTATCATCGTCTTGGACCACCTTGTCAAGCACATCGTCAAGTACATAGCCATCATCTTTGCTAGCGCCTTCGCCGTGGTAGTCACCTTGAGGTGTCTTTTTTCTATGCAACATATCTGCGCCGATCTGAAGGAGATAATTGTTCTTGAGCTCGCCGTCTTGGTTCCACTTGGAGAAGAGGTCGCCAATCTCATCATAGTTGAGGCCTAACCCGTTGTGCAGGATGGACCATGCCTCCGCGAGTGTCGAAAGCATACCTCCTTCGATACCGTTGTGAACCATCTTGACGTAGTGTCCCGAGCCTGCAGGGCCAATTCGTGTGACACATGGCTTGCCAGTCTTGCGGTCTTTGGCAGAGTAGCGCTCCAGGAGCGGCATGACGAGCTCGAGTGCTTTGGCATCTCCACCAGGCGACAAGCTGGGCCCGTGTCGAGCGGACTGGTAGCCTCCAGAAACACCCATTCCGATCCAGTGAACCCCAATCTCAGCGCACTCTTTCTGTCTTCTTTCTGTCCGCCGGTAGTTTTCATTTCCCCCATCGAGAATGATGTCGCCGGCCTTCAGGTCATGTTTGATCAACCCCAGTACGGAGTCTGCCGGGTGACCATGTGTGATGGAAAAGAGGAATAATTTGCGCTCGGCCTTGCCCTCCAGGCTCTTAGTAAACTCGTCGATGTTGTAGAACCCGTCGATCTTGCCCTTCAGATGCTGGGCATTTTTGGCGAACTTCATCACCGAATCGACATTCTTCGGGTCCACGTCCCATACCGAGACATCGCAACCCAGCTCGGAGAAGGCAAAGGTCATCATCGAGCCCATATTCCCCGCTCCGACAATGCCGATGCGCTTGAATCTCTGAATTGGGTCTTGTGATGATGGCATGATGGCGTTTCACAGTATACTTCTAACTTGGCCGATCTGGGTTCTATACAAGGGTGATAAAAAAATTCCAGTCAGAGCACTGAGAAAATGAAGATAGAAAGATCGACTACTTTACACGGAATAACATCTCTTATTGAACGAACATCCAGTGGCAATCGGACAGCGCATCCGGCCTGGAGAAGCGTACGCTAGAATTACATCACGGCGGAGGAGACGTCATGGCGAAGCATAACCCTACCCCTTGGTGTGCACCTAGTTTATTATCTGGTCTGATTCGATAACTGGAAGTCCAAATGCACAATGTCATTTTCTCGCGTAGATGGATTGTCAATGCGTCGGAAACCGACTCCGTCGTTGCCGGATGTCCTGAAATTCTTTTGCCCTAATTCGGCCGATCTCATGGTTACATCATCGCCTCGGACAGCTTCAATTCCAGGAACACATGATATGAGGTTTTGTATTGAATTCCTCCCGGTGATTGTGCATCTGGCTGGTTCTATTGCTATTTTCCATCCCAGTCTTATCCTAATCATATACAACACTGACCACAAGAAACACCATGATCGCATCAGCCCCCCGTATCACATACGAATCCCTCCGCAAAATCCCTCTGTCATATGCCACCTGCTCAATCGGCAGCAGCAACGCCGACACCCTCCCCCGGAAGCTCGAAGCTATCAGCCAAGCCGGCTTTACAGCCATCGAGCTCTCATTCCCCGATATCATCGACTATGGCTCACGTACCCTGGGCCACCAAGTCGCCTCGGAGAACTTCGCCGAGATCATCTCCGTAGCTGGCGAGATCCGAAAGCTCTGCGACGCCAATAATCTCAAGGTGATGATGCTACAGCCGTTTGCGAACTTCGAGGGCTGGCCGCGCGGGTCGCTGGAGCGCCAGGATGCCTTTACCCGAGTCAACGGATGGGTTGAGATCATGAATGTTGTCGGGACGGATCTGCTGCAGGTATGCCTACGCCGCTCCAGTCCTACTACGTACCGCAAAAGCTAATGATAATGACAATAATGACAAAAGGTCGGCTCAACAGACGCCCCCGCCGAGAAAATCACCACGGACCGCAACGAGATCGTCGCCGACCTCCGCGAACTAGCCGACCTGCTCGCAAAACGCAACATGCGCCTCGCCTACGAGAACTGGTGCTGGTCCACCCACGCCCCCACCTGGAAAGACGTCTGGGAGATCGTCCGCGCAGTCGACCGCCCCAACATCGGTCTGTGCCTGGATACCTTCCAGACCGCAGGGTCCGAATGGGGCGATCCCCGGACCATTTCCGGCCGTATAGACGACATGGAACTCGACGAGCTGAACCGACGCTTCGCGGCGAGTATGGACGAGCTGGCGCGGTCGATCCCGCCGGAGAAGATCTATCTACTGCAGATTTCGGATGCGTATAAGCCCACCCGGCCGATCGAGGATAAGGTGATCAATGGGCTTCGGCCGCGGGGGCGCTGGAGCCATGATTTCCGGCCTATGCCCTACGACGGTGGGTACCTGCCCATTGAGGAGGTGACGCGGGCGGTCCTCAAGACCGGGTTCCGGGGGTGGTTTTCGATGGAGATCTTTGACGGGGGGAATCAGGGGAAGGGGAAGAAGTACGACATTATTCCGTATGCGAAGAATGCGATGGAGAGTATGCAGAAGCTCTTGAAGAATTGCTCAGATGATAAATAGTCGACGATTTTGTCATTGAATGCAATCATAGACTCATTCAAGTAAAAGTGTGAATATATCCATTCACGTGTCAAGGAACTCGGATTTTTAGGTCATGCATCCGTAATGCGAAACGCCAGTCATGCAAAGAAATCAAACGAAACAAAAAGTAAATGCATCAATACATCAACATATGGGGAATATTAATCACCGAACCGAAGTACATGTCATGCCCAGCTTACGCATTGCTGGGATACTCGACCTTGTAAGAAGGAACGAATTCCTCCTTGATCGAGCGCAGGCTGACGAACCGCGAGAGCAAGTTCCCGCTGCCAGCCTTGTCGTTGGTCCCACTTGCACGGGCACCGCCGAAGGGCTGCTGGCCGACAACAGCACCCGTGCTCTTGCAGTTGATGTAGAAGTTACCCGCGCTGTTGCGGAGAGCATCCTCCGCAACGCGGACGGCCTCGCGGTCCTGCGCGAAGACGGAGCCGGTGAGACCGTACTCGCCGCTCTGGTCGATCTTCTCGCAGATCTTGGAGAAGTCGGCCTCTGTGGCGTCGTTGTAGGCGTGCACGACCAGGATGGGGCCGAAGAGCTCGCGCGAGAGAAGAGGGTGGTCGGGGTTCGAGGTGCGGTAGACGGTGGGCTGGATGTACCAACCCTTGGAGGAGTCGTAGGTGCCGCCGACGAGGAGCTCGAGTTCGGAGTCGTTCTTGGCGTCCTCGATGACCTGGGAGAGCTTGTTGAAGGAGGCCTCGTGGATGACGGGGCCGCAGAAGTTGGTGAAGTCGGTGGGCTCGCCGATCTTGAGCTGCTTGGTTTCGGACACGACCTGCTCGAGGAACTGGTCGGCGATGGAGGATGCGACGTACGCGCGGGAGGTGGCGCTGCACTTCTGGCCCTGGAATTCGAAGGCACCACGGACAGTCTGCACGGCGGCGTTGCGGACGTCGGCCGACTTGTGGATGAGGTGGAAGTTCTTGCCACCGGTTTCGCCGACGATGCGAGGGTAGCTGCGGTATTTGCCCTCGGCGACACCCTGTGCGATCTTTCCGTACAAGGAACGGAATACGGCGGTGCTTCCGGTGAAATGAAGGGCAGCAAATTCGCGGTGGTTGAGTACGGTGTTGGTGACTTCTTCGGCATCACCGGGGACGAACTGGATGACGTTTTTGGGCAGACCGGCCTCCAAAAGGATCTGGTGAACCAGCCAGTTGGACGCGATGGCAGCAGGGGACGGCTTCCAGACAACGACGTTGCCCATCAGAGCAGGGGCGCCAGCCAGATTACCACCAATGGCAGTGAAGTTGAAGGGGCTGATGGCGTAGACGAAACCTTCGAGGGGACGGTATTCAACGCGACTGCGCTAGTTAGCCATTGTCATTCTTGATCGAATATGCAAAGTAACTCACTTCCAGACTCCAGGAGCGTGGTGAACAGGCTGCTGAGCGTACATGTCCTCAGCGTACTTGACGCCGAACCGGAAAAAATCGCACAGTTCAGCGGCAGCATCAATCTCCGCCTGCCAGGCGTTCTTGCCCTGTCCGTGCATGGTCAACGCCATAATGTCATAGCGGTACTTGGTCGAGATCAAATCAGCAGCCTTGAGGAAGACGCTCGCACGGTCTGCGAACGATGTAGCGGCCCACGACTTGCGAGCCTCCAGGGCCGCGTCAATAGCCGCCTGAACGTCGGCGGCGGTGGCGTTGGAGTAGGTGGCCACCGGGGCACGAGAGGCAGGGTTGGGCTGTGTGAAGGTTTGCGAGCTCTTGATCTGAGAATTGTCAGTCTCTTGATTCAGTATAAGTGTTCACTTGATAAACCAACCTCCTTGCCTGCAATCACAAGCGGTACGTTCAGAGGAGCAGACTGCTTGGTCTTGACCAGGGCATCTTCCAGAGCTTTGCGATCAGGCGAGCCAGGGGCATAGTGTTTCTACTGACGTTAGAATCAATTTCCCGCGTGGACGAAAGTCGAAAAACTTACGTTAGGTTCATTGTCGATGCGAGGCACCTTGAAAGTAGCGTAAGTGCCCATCGCCCTACTAGGACGAACAAAGCTGCTAGTAAGAGAACGGCATTTTGCGAATGGCTGCGCTCGCACGCGGGGGAGCAACGAGGACTGCATTTTGAAGATCCTTGACCCTGCAAGCGATAAAATCAAGGAAAAGTCACGAGCAGAAAAGGGTAAGGAAAGATGGAAAATGAAGCACAAGAAACAAGTCGAAAGCCTGCGCGGGGAAAGCTCCTGTACCTTTAAAGCGAGGGACCGGCTAAGGTCGGTGGAATGAGCCAGTCAGAGACGAAGAAGACGATTAGTCAGCATGATTACCGTACATTACTGAACATGAATCCATTCTCCAAATTCTTCGTTCTGTTCCCCTCACCAAGTGCTGCATAATCACCAGTGGCGTGGAAGTCGGTCGGTCATGGTAATGGTAATACCACTGCTTCTGTCTGAGTAATCGCTGCCGGCTAGGTAGCTGTACGGTGTACCGTGTAACTGTATGGTCCGGTACGCATTCCGGGTGGGACACGCCTCAACCGGGCCGGATAATACTATCAAAATGTGCCCGGTACGAGCAGCCGAGAGGATTTCCATTACCCTATGCATAGATATTTTCTAAAGATATCAAGTAGATGATATCTATGTTATCAATTCTGCAGAGATTTGAACCTCCAGATTAGATCTCTTATTAACTAATGGAAATATCGATGCGGTGACACCTCCGGCCACTTCTCCGCATTGCGGAGTGGGGTTCTATATTCTGTAAATTATGGATTGCTAAACACCAATTGTGTTGGAACAGTCTATAGCTCTACAACATCTATATTAACAACATTCTCTGAGTGAATCATGCTATCCATCTCCAGAGTCTCTCCAGCCAATTACGCGGCTGCCGGTCAATGTCATTCTCACAGAGCCTGTCAACGTCCTCCTTGCCCGACAAGGCTCGTTGCGTGTTCGTGTTGGGTCCATTGTGTGTCCCAATCCCTTTGCATCCCTGTAGTCATATTCATCCGAGGGAGACCTTTCAACTCTAGCCTCCTCGAGGCCCTTAGGCGAAGGAGGCCTCCTCATACTGAAGTCATGCAAGGCAAGGACAAACAACTAAGACTGCCTGCAGAGAAAGATAAATTGGTAGCTGGTAGCGTTTTGACTTCAAGGGTGTTCGGATGAGGCTTCCAGAACCCAGCATTATTGGTCTGGAAAGATATCGAACGAGAATTGTGGGGTTGACAGCTCAAGATCTGCGGCAGTGTGGCTGCCATGCTAAAAGAGCCGGAGGTAATCAACCGGTGTAGGAATGTTGGCGCAGATGGAAGAAGTATTCTTTTGAGCCGACATGTTAGAATGGATAAGTATGATCCTCTCTGAAAAACCCAGGTTTTTCTCCGGGAAGAATGTAGAAGCAGGAAAGCCTGGAAGTCTCGAACGACCAGAAGCTGGCACATACCCCCAATGATAAAGCTGTTAATAACGAGAACTGACGGCCATTTCTCGGCCTTCAAAGGTCTGCACAATAATTCTTCACTGTCGAACATCTTTGTTCTAGAAAAGCTTGATTCATCTGGATCTATATCCCAGTATGCTCATTGGCTGATTAAGGCACGTGATCAGACATTTTACCTAGTCAAGTTGCGCTAGGCCATATTCGATTGGTTTCCACGCCTGGAACGTGTGTCTGCCTCAAAGACCAGGCATAGAGCTAGACCCGGCACATCGGCCTTCTATTCTCGGCATGTTCCAGTTCATTCCTCAAGTCACGCGACTTGGTAGGATGAGGTAGGACTGCTCTATTGTGTAACCTGGGCTGCACAAAGTGATCGTAATATTATTACCTTGCCTTAGTTCAAGCCAGATTCATGGGAATATCGAGGTCACCTGCTCACGGTCACGCGTTCTTTCGCATTCCAGGCAAAAGTGACCGGCCCGGTCAAGCGGCTTGTCTGATGTGGAGACACAGTGGCCGGCCCGCGAACCGGTTGTCTTAAGATTGATTATCGTTCCCAGATTGGATTGAGTCCGTGACTGCTTGATGTCAGCTTGTCGACATTGGCCACTGACACAAGCTGAGGCTTCCTGCTTATCCTAAATACAGACTTACATTCGTCACTCTTTATGGTTATCATATCCTATAGTAGAACAGTCAATATCAAACAGGAAATCAAACTTGATCGTCATTCCGTAGTGGTAACTCAGTCAAGGGCATACAGGACTAGTGGTCGATCCTGTTCTATGGGTGGATCCAAGATATGAAATGATTATCAATCTTGTATCACACCCGCTGGCAGACGGCGCCACTCTACATGGCCTCTTTCCAAAGGAATAATATTACTGACCGTTCCGGCCCTCAGGCGGTTTCCACCGGCTGTACTATCACTTCTTTCAGGACCAAGTAGTCTCTTTAAGGATAATAATTTGTCTATAATTTCCTCAGTATCTCGAGTACTAAACTCATCAACATCCTTATCCTTATTCCAACTACTTGATCATCATCCATCAATACCTCAGCATTGTCGCCGCTCATCCTAGGGTTTCTTGCTCAGGTACCGCCACCTTATCAACCACAACAATGAAGGCATCCCGCCGTCCTTTGCGGGCTCTGTCTTGCATCCCCACGACTTATCCTACTCCCCGATATGTCAGCGGCACCAGCAATGCGAAATCATCCATCGCAGCGACATCAGCTAGTAGCCTGTTGCATCAAGCTCCTCCATCCCCCAAGAAGGAGCCAACCTCGCCGCTCGCAAAACTGCCTCTCTCATCTGTCCTGCGGTCCTTGATGATCCTCTCTGTTTCTTCATCTTCACTTCTACTGAAGCCATGCATCTATACCCTTTCAGTGTTGGCGCATCCCAAAACGCCTCTTCTCGACGTTACCAAAAATCCTCTGCTGAATATGCTCGTCAAGCACACGATCTACAAGCAGTTTAACGCAGGAGAAAACAAGCCAGAAGTTCAGCAGTCCATCCGCGCTATCAAGAATCTCGGATACCGAGGCGTCCTTCTGGGTTACGCCAAGGAGGTCTTGGTTGGTGAGAGCAACGTCAGCCCTCGTGATGAAAAGGCCGCTCGCGAAGAGGTTCAGATGTGGTTGGACGGAACTCTGCAGACTGTGGATATGGCACAGGAAGGCGATTTCGTCGCTCTGAAGTATGTTTTCCTTTTGATTCCCTTCTAAAAATTAATTTGAGCCGATCAACTAACTGCCCTAGGTTCACTGGTATGGGTGTCCAGGCGTTGGACCTCTTGCAGAAGAAGGCCGCCCCCTCTCCGTTCATGGACGAAGCAATCCAGCGAGTTTGTGACTTGGCTATGTCCCGTAACGTACGTTTGCTCGTCGATGCCGAGGAGCAGGCGGTGCAGCCCGGAATCGAGAACTGGACCATGAAGTATCAGAAGTACTGCAATTCGCAGACACCTGGCCGTGCCATTTTCTACAACACCTACCAGGCCTATTTGTGTTCGACCCCGACCACTCTCGCCAAGCATCTGGAGATCGCTCGCCAGGAAGGTTACACCCTCGGTGTGAAGCTGGTCCGTGGAGCCTATCTCAAGACCGAGCCTCGCCATTTGATCTGGTCGACGAAGGAGGAAACCGACGATTGCTACGACGGCATTGTCGAAGCTCTCCTCACCAGACGGTACAACTCCATGCTCAAGCCCGCGTCGGAGGAACTCAAGACCGAGCTGCCACACGTTAATGTTATCATCGCCACACACAACCGTGATTCTGTCCGCAAGGCACACGCGCTGCGTCTCCAGCAGGCAAGCCAGGGGGAGGACAAGGGCGTGGATCTCTCGTACGCTCAGCTCCAGGGCATGGCAGACGAAGTCAGCTGCGAGCTGTTGGAAGGCTTCCAGAGCCCCGAGCCCACTGGCAAGAACTCGTTCGTGGAATCGCCTAACGTGTACAAGCTTCTCACCTGGGGATCGGTCAAGGAATGCATGGGATTCCTGCTCAGACGCGCCGTCGAAAACACCGAGGCCGTCGGGCGTACCAAGCAGTCGCAGGAGGCCATGTTTGCTGAACTCAAGCGCAGAGCCCGCCAGGCTTTCCGTCTGAGCAACTGATCGTCATCCTGTTGAGTTTTCTTTTGTACTTCTGATACCATCCTGCGTTCTGGCTGAAAATCCTTTTGTATCGTTATGCATATTTTTTCTGCTGCCTGATTCCGTGGTGTCCTGCTGGCGAAGATGCATTTAGATGGCGTTAGTGTTTCAGCTTTAGCTCCTGCATCGATTAATGATAATGACTTTCTAGAAAGGAATGGGGGAAAAAGTACTACGCACTTTGTCCCTTCTGGGGTCTCCGGCGTAAGCAAACCGTGGACCCGACAACGATGGGGTACCTTTTTGCTTAATCCTGTAGGATGCGGTGTGGCAACACACCATCCTGCAGGGATTCCAGACATACGTTAAGCGAAAAATCAAGAAAAGAACGCAAGCAAACAAGAAAAGTGGGACGGAAAGGAAATGCAACTGACAGAGCAAAAGTACCTGCAGGGTACTTTTGCCTGCCGGAAACTGCCCTTCTGAACTTTGAGAGAGAGAGACTCACATCCATGTCCATCATTGTCACAACCGCCATCAGTCTTTGAATATCAGTGTGCCAACACATTGCCACGTTCGCCCTTTACCAATCCGAGGCTGCCCCTTTCCACCTTCTGCGTTAGCCTTACGGTACTTTCTTCCACGTACTTTCTCTCATTTTTGTCACAGCCTCACAGACTCCTCACACCGACCACACCGCATCCTTCTTAATAACGGACCACGCAAACCACTCTTTGACGTAAGAAAATCTTACCTAGTCAGAGAAGAGTATAGCGCATAAGCTGCAACTGCAGCTTCACCACTATGCCTGAACAGTAAACTCTGTCAAGCAGGGTTTTCTAAGCCTGCATTGGTGATGATCGGGCTGTTTCTCGAGCAGAGCAGTATGTGACTAGAGTGCAGTACTTTTGTCTTCTGCCTCGCCCCTGATCCGATGAACTATGCCCCTGGCCCCCTGTTCTCCCGGGATGTTGGATCGATTTCCTCCATATTGAAAATGACCAAACCGGTACACTGCCGTACAACGGAGACTTTTATTCAGCACCCGGAGAAGAACTATCTCATCTGACTTGTCGCGATTAACAGTCAACCACCGCATGCATGATTCCACCGCCCTGGAAGCCTGTCCCTTTCCCATTACTGCACAGTAATTTCCCTCCGCGGACCCGGCCGGGACGGAACACGCTCCCCTGAACGTCGACATTGATACTGATCGAAAGACACAGTCAAAATATATTTCCATTGAGGATTTTCATAACTAAGGCGAGAATAAAATTTGCGAGAACGGGGGAGGATGGCGCAGGCGTCAGGCTGTGCTGCCCTTCGAAAAAAGCACCTTTCGGTTATTGCCTCGGTGGATGAGTCGTCAGGCGAGGGTCTGAACGAAGGACAGTGAGGCCATGGAATTTCTCATTTAATCCAGCTGTCTATCTCACTGAGAATATTCAGTTATACTACTTATTCTTTCTGGTCATGTCGTCTGCGCTCTCTCCGCTCTTGTTTCGTGTTTCGAGTCGTCTTTCGAGAAGGCACACGCCGCACAGCTTTTGGCACTTTTGCTACGAGTTTAGGGCCCTTGTCTGGTCGTTGTCGTCCTGTTTCCCTTTTCTCGCGACTTGAGTCTACCGACTCTTGCCAAACATGACAACAGATTGGGAGGACATAAAGGAAGATCTCAGACAGCTCTACCTGGAACAAGATTTGACCTGTACCGAGGTCATGTTGGAGATGCAGAGACGGGGATTCTACAAATCGTGAGTACCATGGATACCTCTGAGGTTAATACTTGGCGGCTGAGCAAGGGAGCAGAAGACGCTCGTACAAGAACTGTTTCAAGCGTTGGGGCTTTAGAAAGGCTGAGCGACGAGCTGGAGATCTTGGGACATTGTCACAAGGATTGCCGATCGACCAAGCGATGCCGGCCGATGAGGATGATACTCCGTCATCACCGGTCAGCGATCACGCAGATGTGATGTGAGAACTCAATAGACCTCCTCTTCAACATGGGACCACATGCTCATATAAAGGCGATGCTTCCAGGTACTCGCAGGCTAACAACCTCGTCTCCTTCGCGCCGAGCACAACCGAGGCATGCCCTACTAGTCTTTGGGCTCATCTCTCAGACCTTCCTGAGATTGAAGATCCCCTGTCTATGTTTGACGAGACCTTTGCGAACATTCTCCTGAACTACCAAGACGAATCGGGCTACACGGAGCTTCATCGAGCTGTCATGAACGAACAAGCCGACGAGGTGATAGCCTTGCTGAGTGAAGGGGCAGCAATTGATATTGAGGATTGGAATGGTAATCTGCCAGTGCATTACGCTGCTGACCATCGAGACGAGAAGATTGTCAAGCTTCTACTCGGCTATCGGGTGGGCAAAATCGTGCCCATGGTCAAGCAAGATTCTGCTCGACTCACGCTTGACCATCGAAATGCGGACGGGAACACCCCTCTGCATCTGGCCATTTCAGCAGGAAGCTTAAACCATGATCATCAAAGGAGCATTGTGACCCAGCTTCTGGGGACCGGGGCCAATCCTCATATACCCAACAACGTTGGTGTGACTCCGATACACAGGGCTGTGGAACTCGTCTCACCGACCATGAGCTGGGATCATGGACGTCACGTTGACAAGATGCTGACGGCCAAGGCCGCCGATCTCACAACCGAGCAGATAACATCTCTGTTCAAGCTCTTCCTCGCAAATTCATACAATGCTTGGGCTGACGTTAACAGTCACCTCAACGCATTATTCAGGACCTTTCTGGGCAATGGCGCTGATCCGGATGTAACGATTTGTCCGAGCTGTGAGCGTCTATTGACACACTTCTTGCACTGCTGCTTTAAGACTCGCTCTGCCTCCCAGAAGTGTGACACCCGGCTTGCCACCTTGATATGTGAGAAATTAGATGTCGCAAGAGTCAACAGCATAGGCGACACATGCGTACATGAGCTCATAAGATTCCTGGGCTCTTGGTATTATGATCCTTCAATATACCAATTACTCCAGATCGTGGTAGAAAGGGGAGCGGATGTCAATCACCTCAACATGGCCCGGCAATCACCTCTGATGCTGCTCTTGGAGACAAGGCAGCTTGTGGACGACGTCTACACGGTGTTGGCATTTCTTCTCAGGCGAGGAGCAAATCCATTGATCCCCGATGCGGCTGGGAACTTTCCGATATACGCGGCTGTTCGAAACAATCCCTGGCTGGGATCCAAGCTCGCGAAAATGATCCTCCACGTTGACAATGGATTAGACACCATCGTCCCCTGGCAGTTTCCACAGTTTACCTGGTGGCAATCGTGGATGCACGCTATCGCCTCAGAAGATTTGGGCACGTCGGTAACGGTGCTTCAACAGGCTCGCCACTCACCGCCACCGGACATCCGAGACCTACTATACCGTCTGGCGTTGGCCGTTCTCACCGAAAAACACTTGCGTCGAGCAAAAGACTGGTATCAGAACAGTGAGAAAAGTCCTGAGCAACAGAAGCAACACCGGACCACTGTGCTAAATATACTCCTGAAGAGCCAGGGGCTGGATATTGATCCAGATTGGTTTCAATACCTGCTGAAATTGTAACCTTGCAAGGGGATATTCATTGCTGTTTATATAGACGATACCTTAGCTTTTTTCGTATTTTACTAGACTCGGTCTGCAATCTCACCTCCGTGAATGCTTCTTGATCATTTGAAAGAGACTCGGGGTCGGATGTACCCGTAGTATAATAAATGGACCACGTTGAGCATCAATATCCCATTTACAAAGGAATTGGTTAATACTCGGTTAGGACCGGCCACTATCTGGACTTCTTTCCGACATGCAGCTAAACAATCCCAGCGCATTTTAACTCCACCTCCGACATCGCCGTGGACTATCAGTGGGACAGAGTATCATTTAGTGACTCGATAAATGAGGGTCTACTAGTACAAGTGACTCTTATATTAACGAGAAAACACAGCTTGCTGCGGTTGCAGAATACATCAATTTCTGAGGCCCAAGATGCATCTTCTGTCCGAACCAGACGTCTCTCGCATTCTGAGAAACCTAACTCCAGAACAATGCCACATCTTACTCGACGCCCTGAGCGAAGCCCTGATAACCGTCTCATCAGAGACAACAAAACCAGAACCAGAGCGTCTCGTCCATCAACCCCTCCGCACCACCATCACCACCAAAGACCAGAATCTATCGCTCTTCATGCCCGTCTCCAACACAGCCAGCACAGGCATCAAGATCGTCACGGCCTCGCAGCGCGAAGGCATCATCGGGGTGATCAACATCTTCTCGCCGGAAGGCCGACTCCTCGGCCTGCTCAGCGCCGCAGAAATCACAGCCTTTCGCACGGCCCTCGCAACCATGACGCTATTTACGCGCTGCACGTCTATCCCCAAGAAGCATATCTTGATTTTCGGCTCGGGTCGTCAAGCAGAGTGGCACGCTCGGCTGGCACTGCTGCTCGTTCCGCGACTGGTGCGGCGAATCACCTTCATCAACCGGGGTCGCAGGCGGCTGGAGGAGCTGGAGAGGGAGGTGGTCGTGGAGCTGAGACGTTCTCATCCGGATATCGTGTTCGCCACGCTGGCCAGGGAGGGGACTGATGATGCTGAGTATGAGGCGCTACTGCGCGCGGAGGTCGCCTCGTGCGACGTCGTCTTCAGCTGCACGCCGTCTACGGAGCCGAATTTTCCCTACGGGTATCTTTCGTCTACGTCTACGGCTACGTCTGCGCCTAAGCAGCGGTTTATTTCGCTGATTGGGTCGTACAAGCCGCATATGTGCGAGGTTGACACGGAGACGGTCCTCTCAGGAGGTGGGCAGATCTATGTTGATTCTCGGGAGGCTTGTCTTGAGGAATCTGGGGAGCTGATCAAGGCGCAGGTACGAGGGGAGCAGTTGGTTGAGATTGGGGAGTTGTTTGGGAGACTGGGGAAGTCGGAGCCGATTGTGGTGCCGGAGGGGTGTAATGTGGTTTTCAAGTGCGTGGGCATGGGCATCATGGATTTGGTGATTGGGAAGAAACTGTTGGATATTGGTGTCGAGAAGGGATTGGGAATGAATGTGGATGGTTTCTGATGTTCTTTGAGATTGATTTCTCCTGACTCTGGACGTGTGAACGTGGATGATCAGCAGCATATCAGGAGTGGGTTCGCTAAGTATATATAGAGACGGAATGCCTGAGGCATGGATCAGGTGACAACGCAATCCCTCGAAAGTAATTGCTGAGTTAGAGCACAGATATATTCTTGCCCAGGTACGACCACGATCGTAAATAAGAGGCTGTAGAGAGTCATAACCCTCGTACCTATGCAATGCTATTTTGATCTGTGGGGAATTGCGCCTTTGCTTATCAGGTTCATCAGCCGGGAGCACAAGACCTTGTTAATTTCCCCACTGCCGGAGAAAACTAACAGACACCGCCCCGGCGCATCGGCTTTTCCCCCCCAGCTAAGCACTCGGTTCGACCTCAACTTGGACTGGTGGAAGTAAACTAGGATCTGCCCTTCATTCGTATTGTTCCTGAGGGATAGACGATGGTTATCCATCATCCTCCTTGAGTTCATTATTTCAAGACTGTCATGGATGTTTCTACCCCGGCATCTCTGGGGAATCCAAAACGTCCCCGCGTTTCGGAGGAAAACCGCAAAAGAGCTGTGAGAGCGTAAGTTCCGCCTTTCATGACCCCCCATATGCTACGTTTCTTTTGTTACTTCATTTTGAGAGGTTGCCGATAATTGACTTTCTCAGATGCGATGGTTGTCGACGAGTCAAGGAGAAGTGCGAGGGAGGCGTGCCCTGTCGGCGGTGTCTGCGCTATCGGCGACAATGTGTCTTTACGCACCCCGATCATGCAGAGAAACTTGCTCGCTCATCGTCAGTCTCGTAAGTTTGATTTTATCTTTGACATTACAATCTTTTTGTTGTGGTCCGCAAACTCATTACGTACCGTCAGCCTTCTGGAGCGCACCGCCGGCCTCAGCCGTCACGATATTGCTGAGGGGGAGCGGGTCCGACTCATGGAGCGCATTCTAGAGTACTATGTGCCCAACATCTCCTTTGACATTCCGTCGTTGCGAAAGGCGGCTGAGGAGCTGAAGAGTAAGCACCGAGGCTCCGAGTCTGATGTCCCCTCGACTCGTGTTGAGGGCGAGGACCTTGAGGACCTTGCTATTGACGACGAGGATTTTATGATCAAGGCTTTGCCTGATAATACGACACGTATGTATAGAGCTTCCTCTTGATTTGCTTAGTGAGTTGGCTGATCGTGACATAGAATACTCGGGAGAGTTTTCATATTTGAACTTTTCGATGAAGATTCGGAAGAAAATTGATGAATGGATGAAAGCTGCCGCACCGGAGGTATGTATTGACGATACCCACGGTCTCACTTTTGCTGATCGTTCAGGCATCTACCGAAGCGGAACCATTTGAAGAGAGATGGCGGGCGACACAGCTACAGTCAGGTTCTTCCATGGTCTCGGCAGCCATCACCTGTCTGCCGCCTCGTTATGTGGCAGATTTTCTGGTTCAAATCTTCTTCAAGTACGCCCAGACCAATAATTTCTACGTGGAAGAGGACTGGCTACTGGAAAAAATGCACACATGTTATACAAACCCATCAAGTCTTTTGTCCGACGATGCTGGCTCGGTTTGCTCGATTCTCATGGTCCTAGCGGTTGGGACACAGTTTGCTCACATGGAGTCTGCCACTCCTGTCAATCGATTATCAGCCGACTCATCGATTAATGATGACCATCACTTCTCGGAAGACGAAGTCGGGCTCACCTTTTACCAGTTTGCGTCGAAATTGCTTCCCGATATCATCGCCACTGCCTCTGTCCGGAGTGTTCAGGCCTGTCTGCTGATAGGGACGTATCTACTACCTCTCGACACATCTGGACTCTGCTATACATACTTTGGTCTAGCACTGAAGATGGCTATCCAGAACGGTATGCATCGGAAGTATCAGGGCGAAGGACTCAGTCCGCGGATGATCGAGGTCCGCAACCGCGTCTTTTGGACGGCGTACACCATAGAGAAGTAGGTCATTCTCCTTGATCAGGTTAGTCGCCGTATGCTCATCAAAACAGGCGCGTTAGTATCCTTCATGGAAGACCGGTTTCTTTATCTGATGCGGACGTTGACGCCGCGATGCCGGTCGACTTTCCCGGTCTGATGCCCACCGGGCAAGTGTCCAACCACACTAACATGGTGACATTGATCAAGTTGACTCTGAAACTGGGTGAAGTTTCAAACGAGATGTGCGTATACCTGAATTTAGTCATTCATACGAGCCTAACATTAGCAGATCCGTGTTGAGGAAATCTCGGAAAGGTCAACAGCAGGATTGTCTTGAGCGGTTACTCAGTCTGAGAAAAAGTCTGCTGGACTGGTGGGCTACTTTACCAGAAGAGACTGATTGTCGAGACTTGAACCCCTCCGGCCCCCTATTCCGTTCGAATGTACACTTGAAACTCGACTACTGCTTAACGAGAATCTTCATTGGGCGACCGTTCCTTTTCAGCAGCATGAAGTCCACCAACCCAGCTGTTTTTCAAGGGCCCCCGTTCAAGGCAACATCTGGACTCTCAAAAAACTGGTCAACGCTCGTCACCGACTGCGTCGAGGCGGCGCTCGAGATCATTGATCTCTGTCGGCTGCTCCGTGACGAAACCGGTCTTGCTCGAGCGTCCTTTACCGAATTCAGTTCCTGTCGCGCCGCGCTGCTGGTCATCCTAGCGCAGAGCTTGACCAAACGGACAGAGAGGCTGCGCGAAGCGCTAGAAAAGGGCATGGCACTGATCAAAATCATGTCGATGGGAGTGGGCTCCGCGAGGTCCGCCGTCAGCGTGATCGAGGCGCTCGAGCGAGCCATTCGCCGTCTTGAAGAGTGGAGCGAAACACAGGCTCAAAGAAATGCCGGTTTCGCCGAGTCCGCCTACGATCGCTTCAAGAACTGGGAGATGCTATGGAAGACCGGCCCTCTCTCCCCAGGGACAACGGTCACGTTCCCTGAACAGTATACTCCGGCGCGCCCTGGCACAGGGATCCCTCCTGTACCTGTCACACCGATGACCGGCACGGAGGTAGGGAACGACACCATGGAAGGCGATGTCGCCAGCACAGATATGGCGGGCTCGTCGGACTTTTCCGCACCCCATGCGTTCTCTCAAATGCCGCCTTTGGGATTCGACCACTTTGTCTCCAACTTTCCGCAGGAACTGGGCGAGTTTACTGCCATTCCGTGCTTTGAGACTGATGCTCAACAGGGCCTTGGGAGTGACATGAAGGCGTCCCAAGGGTGTCCACCGGATACGAGGTGGATGCAGTTTATGGGCGAATAAATGGACGTAAGTTAATGAAGACGCGTGTGCTATACCTGTGATTACATGCAATGCAATTTTCCAATGGGGACATTGTCATATGACAGCTTGAGCGGGCTATTAGCCTCGCATTTTATGCATGATACCTATTTTGAACATATCAACAATGCAATATATACATCAACAATTCCAGAAATTGCTTCGCAGGGTATTCTCATTCGTAAGAGACAATGCAAGCTAATCGAACGTGACCTTCTT